TGTACTAGTTTTAGGTTCTAAATCCGAGCTAGAGTTTGAGCTAGAGGAAGAAGTAATAAGCTCATCCACTCGAAAAGTTTCTTCACTACCGGATAAAACTAAGGAATTAGATGTTTCAATAAGAAGGGTAGATATTTTCGTTGCTAGTTTCTTCTTCTAATTGTAGTTCTTGTAGTCTAGAGTTTATCCCGCAGTATTTGGAAATATGGCCTTTCCGATCGTATTTGTAACGGTAAAGTCGTTTGGGTTGGTTTTGGACCCGGCCTAAACTATGGCTTCCTAAAAGGCTTTTTGGGTTTCCTATGGGAAGACTTCTTGTAATAAGGCTCTTCTTTGGGCTTTTCTTTGTGGTGATGGTAAGGTTTTTTGTATGATTTCCTACGGGTCTTATCGTCGTAATTATTCTTACAATCCGAGGGTTTTGAGGTGTTGATATCAAACTCGTTTACAAAAACTACCAAGTTCCTATCCGGTTTTTCTCATTTTTCATTTAAGGTATTTTTGGAGTTTTAAGTCTTGGCAAATTTTGAGTCCTTCCTTCTAGGTGAGACTAATTAATTCCCCATAAGTCAATTGGTCATAAGGGATTTGGTTTCCAAAAGCATCTTTAATGTGGGTTCTAACTTTTTCTCCTAAAAGGATTGGTAATCTTGCAAGAAATTTCTCTTTCCAAAAAGATTTATTGGAATCTTCCCTTAACATGACTCTATTGAGAAAAGTGATTTTTTAGTATTGGAAGTCATTGAGTTTTTTGCACTTGAGGTTACTTAGGAGTTCAACGTTTTTGTCTTTAAGGTGAGAGGGATTTCCTATGAAATGTAGGGAAATGGTCAAGATTAGTGTTGACACTCGCATCTTGAATGGTTTCACCTAAGTCATCTAGAATAAGTAGTCTATCTTCATGGGTTTGTATGGAATTTAGAATTTCAAGTCGTTGTTGGGTAGTGAAGTGGTAATCCCACCATCCTTTCAGCTATCCCGAAAACCCTGCTATAAGGAGTTCAGCTATAACTCGGTCCGGGGTTTCGATTTGGGTTTTGTAGGCATTAGCTGCCATGGTCATTTGTTGAAGCAAACTCAAAATATTATATTATGATAATTCATCTATGTTCCATTCGTAGACGGAAGAGGTATTGAATATTGGTTGAGCTAGTTTATTTGGCATTTCTCCTATGTTAGGGGCGGTGATCATAGGTAAGGAATTTTTTTAGTAAAGTTTATTTACTTCGTGGATAATTTCTTCACCGTAGTTTTGATCTAGCATATTGATACTAAGGGATTGGGGTGTGTCGTGTACTTGTCTAGAGGTTCTCGTATTAGAAGAAATTTTTATCTTGCTAAGTTGGTCTCTAATGGCTTTTAGAAATTTAGGTTTGTTGTTTTATATTTGTCGTTGACTTGTTCTAGAGACTTGGAAGGGTTTAAAAACTGGATTTTTTAGTTTTTTTTATCTTCGGCTTCGGCTCTAACAAGGGAAACAACTTGTTTTGAAATTGGGAAGACAACTCGGCTTTGGAATAGGTGAAACAACTGGCTTTTTATATGGGTTTCTATCCTAACCAATAGTTTTCCTATGATTTGGAGGTTGGTGTTTGTAAAATTGTTCGTTAAATAATATTTTGGATGTGGACGGAATCATCATCCTTAACTATCTTATAAGGGCATGCTTTTATCTTAACTTCTTCATGGGAAAAGGTAAGTTTTATGGGAGGAGGATGTTCGGATCGTATGGTCTTTCCTTCTACTTCCTATACCGGGGTTTTATTCCTAGTGGTAACAAGATTCAAAGTTTTTATGAAAGGATAAGAAATATTATGTTCGGAAACATATAATTCAAACCAATCAAAGAACAATATATGAACTTTATGTAGGGTATAAAATCATAAAATTCATTTTGTATTTCTTTTCCGTGACTCAAAAATTTTTGAAAAACCAAATTCGCTTTTTAGAATTATGTTTTGCATAAAAATCATCATGCATATATTTTTTATCTACTTTAAAATCATCTTTTTCAATCACATTACACTCATTAGCAATGTTTTCGGTAATGGTTAAAGCAATAGGAGATTCGAGTGGAGAATCATCCTAGTTCGAGTACTTGGGTTTAGGAATGTTTGTACCATAATCAATATTTTGTAGGATAGGGTTAGGTATATCGAAGTAGAATACCTATGGGGCATATGAAGAGATGGTAGACTTTGTTCTAAATTTATATTTCTTCTAACATCGAGTTTGGTAAAAGGTATATTAATGGCGAGAGGAAACTTAGAAATTCTACCTTTGTCAAAGGTTTCGAGCTAGAGGCTTCATCGAAGAATCTACTACTAGTAAATCTCCTGTCAAAGGAAAGTCTTACACTCCCATTTAGTCGTTGGGATATAGACCTAATTTGGATGTTTGGTTTCGGAATTTCGGAATGGATAAAGGTCGGGGTTGGTTTATACCTTGTAAGATCCATTTTTTCGGTAAGATTATGTCTTTCCACCCGATAGGTATGGGAATGACAAGTATTGGATTTGGTCGATTTGTTTGTAAAAGGAGTGTTTCTCCTTTGGTGAATTGTCGTTTGTGTTTTGAGGCAAAAGTAGAGGTCATGGCTTTGTAATGGACTTTTAAGATCAATGCAATCGGAATCGATCTTTCTAACATATTGTAATTATGGGTTTTGATTTGTAAAACTAAGGATTCTAAAATATTTTTGTCATTCAAGTAAACTGTGAAGTTTGGGTAACAATAAAAAGATATAGGTCCACTACATAAACTGGATTCAATGAAACTAAGCAAAGAATCCTAGAAACTAGTAAACCTATTGTCTCTAAGGATCTGCTAGGATTTAGATGTTCAATCTTTCTTTTGTAAGTGGTTTAATTCCCACTTGGAATAAGCCTATATGGATGTACTTAAAGGTTTTCTCTCTATGCTTTTGTAAGGTTTTGAAAGAGAGAAGACGGATGTTCTCAAAAGGTTTTGAAAGCTAGATATCTCTTTCTTTGGTTTTGATAGTGTAATCGGTTTTAAACAAATTATACTTGTAGGTTTGTAAATTTCATCTTTATGTTCTTTAGGGATTTCCTAATTATCTATTTGTTTTTCAAAATCTTCTATAACATGTTCTACACTATTTATTATCTTCCTAGATTCCGAGGTTTCGTAACTAAGAGAGTTTGAGTAGGAGGTAGATTTACGGAATATGGAATCCATACCTAAACTTTATTTTGATAAAAGAGGTACGCGAGTTATGAAGGTGATAAGAACATATTTATTGCTTTTCCTAGGACTTACGACTGGGGTCACCAACTCAATTGTCTATACCGTGTTACTCGAAAAAATCTATACATGAACAAGATAAACATATAAACATACCACCACCAACAAAAACAGCATGGCTTTGATACCAGAAAATGGTTGGTTGATGATGATATTAAGAATGTGTTCATGTTTGGTTCCATCTAGTTTGGTGTCTATTGTACATTAAAATAGTGATAGCTTGATGGTAAAAGTGACTTTGCATCTGTTTGAAAATTAAAACTTTGTTTGCTTGTTTGTTTTCCTGCTTGTGTGCTATATGGAGTCTTTAGATTATGTTTATGCTTTTATTTTTGATTTGATGAAAAATCAAATATTTGTAATTCTTATTTTTTTATTTGTGATTTTTTTTTTATGATGTCTTGATCGCCGTATGTTTGTTATTTGTATAGATATACATGTTTCATGCCTAATAAGTATTTGGACCTGCTTTGTGATCAATTCTCTTTCTCTTCTTCTTATTCCTTTTTTTTTTTTACTCTTTTACCCACTAGTGTACTTAGACTAAGTACTTATGATCCTGCATAGATCCATTAAACATGAGTAGGGCCATCAGGTCCATTTAATAAATTGATTGAGTTTTAAACCTTCGTTTCATTCTGGATCCGATGCCCGTGAGTTCAAAAGTGAGGATAGGGTTTGTTGTCGGTTTTAGCTTCCAAATTACTTCACCTCTTAGAAACAATTAGGTGTGAGGTTGATACTAAACACACCCAATAGACCTAAATAATTGGACATAATGAAATCAGAAATGAATATTATAAGAAATTATACAATGGGACATGAAAGGATGAATGCCATCTTTTCTTTATATAACCAACTCCTTATCCATGATTTTTATGCAGACTTATTTTAAATTTTCAAATTATCTTAATATTATATGACAGATCCTTTTCCTTATTTTGTCCGATCAAGCTCGCCATCCAACCACTCCTTGTAACAGTGTTGATGATAAAGAAGAAGCAGGGAGCTTTCCAACTGTTTGATGTTAACACAAGCGTGTTTTGAACCATTTCACCCCAAAGCCATGGCAGCATTACCATTGTATTTTAGCTGAATTTAGAGGAGTTGTGCTTCTAGATCACATAAGTATAGTGTGTATCTTTTAATGGGTTTGGGCCATAAGTCCCTAAATATTTTTGGGCTCTTCAGGTTTATGGTATGTGGGCAATAGATTCTACAATAACCATGTTGAATGCCTATATAGAAGCTCAATATTAATCTTTTCAATTATAAAGAGTCTTTACTACCTTTTATTTCTCTAATAAAATTTGTGATTCATTCCTATGTATATAATGGTAAAAAAGAAAAACACTCAGTTGACTTTTCAATTCAATGTGTTACTACAGATGAATGATCAAATATGATTATAACCATGCATGAAGAATTTAAACATTCTGTCCTCCAAAAAGAATTTCATCCACATTCCAAGTAATATCTCCCAATGCATATAACCATACATGAAGAAACGAAAGAAATGGTTTAGCTTTCTATATATTTTACAATGATCAAATCACATGCAAGTTAATCTGAAATAAAATGAAAAGTTAAAAATTGAAGGACTATGATGGGAAGAACGATAAACACCAAGGAAATGGTTACAGGACCTTGACAAGCATAAGAATTGACTTATAATAGGTGAACCAGAGTGGAAATAATGAGTAATTGCCTTCCAAAATTCGCTTTGAGGGCTTATGACTGATTTAGTGGAAGAATATGGAGCCTATGTTTTGTTGCTTCAAGTCAACCATCTAACATGGTTGTCTGTTGATTTGGATAATACATTGGAGAGTTTGGAGACATTAGATATTGCCTAGGCCAAATTTGATGATAACCTTTACTCTTTTTCAGTGGATGCGGCATGTGAAAAAGATCAAAGGCCTAGCCGGGCAAAGGAACTTGGATCTTCTTTGATAGTATCGACAAATAGTGCTTTGGCCGCAGCGAAAGAATCCGCTAGTGTGAAAATGAGGTAAAATATTTGTGGACCTTGCATTGTGTCCGTTACATTCATGAGTTTGTTGTGCTGCGCTCGCCACTGTCAACTTAATGTTCATAGACTCTGATTTCAGGTCAAAGAGATAATATATGATTTATTCAAAGCCATGAAGATGAGTCTTAGGAGCATTGCCCCAAAAGAAATAAAGCTTCTTAAGCACTTGCTGAACATGGCAGATCCTGAAGAGCGATTCTCAGCATTGGCAATAGCATTCTCTTCAGGTGTTGGTTTACTGTATAGCATCTTTTATTACCTCTCTGTTTCTGTGTAGGACTCCCAAGGAGCTGGACAAATGGATTGAGTTAATGTTTGATGTATACCATCTCAATAAGGAGGACAGTGACAACAAGGAAGCCAAGCAGATGCCTCAGCCCGCTATTATACGAAGTTTGTTCATTCTAAAAGAAACCATTGAAGAAGAAAACTTTGGAGAAGATTACATTTCGGATGCAACCAGAAGGGAACACTAAATCAGAGGACTAGTGAGGGATCGTACATTTTTTCCAACACCTCTTGCATAGGCTTTCTTTTTTGTGATAGATATATAGCTCCCATGATGAAGCCTGAAGCAGCAAATTGTGAGGCCACTTTTCAACTTCTTTTATTGATTCTGTTCTGTATTGGAGCAGCAGTGTGCTAGAGCCAGAAACGGAAGAGAAGGCAAGTGATGAGGACCATAGTAACGATAACCCTCGTCCAGCCCGGCCCAAAGAAGTCTTAGTAGCAGGTATTTATATGGAAACTCTCAACTTGAATCAATGCTACTAGTGCTTCTATAAAATGAGCATTGCATTTTTGAAAGTGGATAACTTGGGTTCTGAACTCTGACAAACTAAAATACATTTTGAGCTTATGTTCACATTCACCATGCAAGAATTACGGCCATGGTGTAGCCATTCCTGGCTTCTTAGTACACCAACTGCAGTTTTGACCCTCAAAGGCCATTGCAGAAGATTCTTCTTGTCTTCCACTAAATGTAGCCAATTGAAATGGTTTCCCTTCATATTATATACCTGTACATCACAAGCTTTTCAATAGATTCATGTTCTTTTACATTGAAATTTCTACCACTGATTAACAATCGAATATACTTGGTCAAGTCAACCACATATAGTTTTACCTGCAAATCAAAATTAAAGAATATCAAATGTCATTCAACTTGAAACAAAATTTAAAGAATACAAATGCCATCCAAATAATGCACTGGCTTCATCAACTAGCATTCTTAGATCCCTATTTTCTAGAAGTTTATTGAAAAATATACTAATTGATATTATTCTGACAAAATTTCATAAATATCAGCAGTGATGCATCCTGCAGGGCGTCCGAATAATATACAGAAGGCACACGTCACTGAAAGCGAGCAATAATTATCTGGAAAATGAAAACATCTACCAACACCAATTAAATAGAAAAGCAAAATTTTAAAATTTGGACATTCAACAGCAGAACCACCTTGTATATAATATGAAATAAATCAATACTGCAAGACATACCTTCTGTGCAGTAAGCACAATAAAGGTGGAATTACTGTGCCAAAATGCAGAAATTTTGAGATGCTTCAGTCTTAACAATGCAAGACTTTTGTATGTCATCCTGATTATGTACAACAGCATGGTAATTATCCTGATTAAAATTGACTGAAAAGTAATAAGCTGAACTTCAAACATACTAATCAAATAAAGAGGAATATAAAAAACTTTTCAGAAAAGCTCTTTAATTTGTCATGTCAATAGAATCATTTTCTCATTTATTATTCTTTACTTAACATTGTATTATCATTCATTATGAGAATATGCTAAGTAAGGAATGTGTTGAAAATCCCTTGATTTTCGCTTTAAGATCCTTATTTAATTGTGTATATTTTCTATTGTAATTAGGTCTTAAGTTAAAAAGATTTGGTGTACTCTTAATGTCGATATATTGTAAATCTTATAATAGAGGAATATATAAAACTTTTCGGAAAACCGCTTTAATTTGTCATGGTATCGTAACCTAAACTTTGACATTGTTTCATCTTATTGCCTAGTTTCGTGATCCTAGTATTTTGTTCTTGGTTATTCTTGTATTGCTATTCAGAATTCGGTAATACAATTGAACACAAAACATACTTTCATGAATCATTACTAATACATGAAAACCACATTATATCATTCCATGAACATGAAAATCGGTGAAATGGCCATTAGGCTGAATTCCACCATAACCATTCCATGACCCATTTCAACATAAAGTAAGTAATTACCACAGGAGTCATTGACCAAATAATCATGTCTCCAATAACTTGCACGATTAACATATAACATAACAAACACATCAATACATACAATTTGCTAATCTTGGTCCAAATCACCAAGAACAAACCATGAACAACAAACTTTCCTCGACCATAATCAAGCATAAGACCAATCATTTTAATCTAAACACATGATCATTCAACTTAAATACACTAATATTAACATGATTATCATTAAAAACATGTAATTATACCTATCCATCAAATTTTTAGATTTGGTATACCAATCTATCAAAATCCAGATTTGATCAACATATTTAAACAACCAATACTTCATCAATTCAACAATTTAAAGGTTTCTAAATCTTTTTTAAGCCTAATTCCTTCCTTAATCCATTGATTCAACACAAATCCAAAAATCAGATTTAACCTTCAAATACACAATTTATGCTCATTTTTCAAAAGTTACTTCATTATCGAGTAAGCCTATTTCGTAACAGTCTCTAAACAAGCAAGCAATAGCCCTAGTTCCGGATATAATTAGAACATGTCTTTTAACTAATAGTAACTAAACATATTAATCCAAAACATATAAAAAAATTAGTTCAAAAGACCAAACATACGATTAATGCTATAATTTTAAATTTTAAGAACTAATATGTCCAAGCAGCAGATGATCTAAAATAGTTTGTACTTTAATGAGTATAACTCTCATATACAAACCTAATGATAAAACCATTTTACGGAGACTTGGAAGAGACATAGATAAACAACTTTCATTTTTTTACAGCCTTACACATAAATCACTCTAAGACATATAAACAAGCAAGTATAAAATTCGAACGTAATCTAATCCTTAAGAACACCGATTCTTCCATACTTGATTTTTAACTTCCAATTTATGTTTTTAAACTTACCCAAATTAATCAAACACTTTTAAATACCTTAAATAATTCTAAAGAACATCTAATTAACCTAAAATCATAAAAATCAACCATTTTCCCCAAAATTCTCAACTTGGTCTAAACGTCACCATCAATACCCAACTTTAATTCATCAAACCAACTTCAATTAAGTCATCAAACATGATCAACCAACCATCACAAACATGATCTCAACCACAATTCATCAATATCATTCAATTACAACAAAACCCAAACAATCGCATAATTAATCATAATTTCTAAAACTTCAAAACATAAACAATCAAGCATCACTTACCTTACTTGATGCTTGATCAAATTTCTCTTGGTTGCTTGCAGTTTTCTCCTCCCCTTTCTTCTTCAAAGTTTCGACTCAAGCTTCCCCTTTTCCTCTTTTCGTGTTCTTCTTCTTCAAGTAATTTTAAGGTGTTTTTGGTTTGTATCTAAAGTGGTTTAAGTGGTTTTGGGTGGTCGGTAGGCTTCATTTCACTTGAAATGGCTTCAATTTCATTTGTTTTACCTTGAATCCTTGGTTGCTCATCCTTATCCTCCTTCCTCTTCTTGGCCGAAATTTATAGAGAGGATTCTCTTGGTGATTTTTCCAAGTGTGAGACACTTGGTTTCATCATAAATCCTTTCATTTAATGCTCTCTTTAGATTTCTATCAATTTCTTCTTAATATTTTCTCTCTTTTCTTCTCCATTTTGCCGACTTAAACTCCCTCTCCTTTTCTCTTATTTCAGCTTATATCTCGGTTAAAAAGAGACCAATAATGGCCTAATTTAATTGGTTCCTTATTTTGTCAAAATTTTACATTTTGATGCCTAAACTTGTGATTAGTTCAATAAGGTCCTTAAATTTTAATCCCTAAACTCTTAATTTTATACAATCAAGCCATGAATCTAGGCTTTTCCTAATTTATCATGGTTACATGAATTTTTTAATTATTTTAATTAAGTAATCAATCTTTTAATTATTGCGATTAAACCTCCTAAAGTCTTACAAGTACATCCTTAAATTATTACAACCTTAACAATTAATCTTACAATTACTAAATCAAGCATTAAATAATTTGCTTCCCTCTCATAATATTTATGCATGCGTCAATTTGTTTTTTATGTAGGCATAAAATATTAAATCATACCTTAAATAAATACTTTTATATTTAAATAATTATTGACACATATAAAAAAAAAGTTTAAAATTTAAGGGTGCTACATGTTACGCTCCGCCTAAAAGAGGGATTTTTCTAGAGATTCTAAAGAACACTAGATAATTCTAGAAGCTTCTAGAAGAGTATGGAGCAATGGAGAAGCCTCTAGATAAGTCCGAAAGCTTCTAGAAGAGTATGGAGCAAATGAGAAGCCTCTAGATAAAGTCGGAAGCTTCTAGAAGAATATGGAGCATTGAAGAAGTCTCTAAGATGATCTAGAGAATTCTAGAGAGTCCCTCACTAATCTAGCATGTGTATATCTAGATAGTTCCTTGTAAATATCTAGATAGGATATTTCTAGAGAACCAATTATAACCATTAGATTAAATAGATCCTAGCCATCCATTGAGGAGGTGGAAGGCTATAAATAGGTGAGGCCCTCACTTGGCCAAGACACCTAGACATTCATAAACTTAAGAGAGTGTGTCTTTAAAGTTGTAAGCTTTTAGAAAGCAATACAAAGAGTATTTATATCTCTTGTGTGTGTCTTTCTTGCTTAGCAACTTTGTGTGAGGAAGGCCGACTTGGTTTGTCTTAGAGAAGAAGAGAGCCAAATGCCGCACGTGAGCTTGGGAAAGGCCAAGTCCGTGACAAGTGGTATCGAGCCTCGGTTTTATCAAAGTGTGAGTAAGCTTGCTCGCTAGCTACGGTGTTCAAGAGAGTAAGGATGTCTAGCTTAGGCATGGAGGATGTTGCTCGGGGATGCTAGGAATGAGACCCTACCTCCTCAACCTAAGAAAGAAAGGGGAAGTCTCGTGATATATTAATTTCCTTGGAGGAGCGACTCATGAGGGCGGAGGAACACCTTGTCGATTTCAAGGAGAGACTCGAGGAGATAGAAGGAGATGATGAGGGGGAGACATTAGGCATGGTAGGCCTACGTGAGGTGCTCTCCAATCTCCAAGCTCGAGTGCAAACGGTTGAGAGGTGTGCCAAAGAGAGCGTTGCCGAAAAGGATGCCTTCATGGAATGGACGAAGGAGAGGTTCAAGCAACATCAAGAGTATATGACCGGGTATGAGCAAACTCTTGAACAACTTAGAAAAGATTGAGAAAATTATCGAGAAGCTATCTCGAATAGTGTGGTCTTAAGGGACAC